TGCTTACTAGCTGACATAGCACAGATGGACCAGCTCCTACAGACACTGAAGATGTGCCAGGCAAAAGGCACCAGCATGTTCCCCTAGTCCTCCTGGTTACAAAAGAACGAAAGAAGAGCCCCAACCAGAGAGACTCATCCAGCACTCTGGTCTCACAGTGGACAATCAGATGCCTACAGGAAGCCAAGAAGCAGGACATGAGTGCAAGAGCCCTCTCCCACTTGTGACCCTTGGCAACTGGTTTTCAGAGGCATACTACCTTGGATACTGATGTTGCTCCTTAGCCATCATGACTAGTTGTCAGTGACAGCCTTATCACTCATGAATTTGTCTAATCCCTTTTAAAGCCACCTAAGTTGGTAGCCATCACTACACCCTCAGTCAGTGAATTCCATAGTTTAACTAGGTATTTTACTTCCTTTTGTCTGTCCTGAATATTCCAATATTCGGATTCATTGGATGACCCAATGGGAAAGTGAGAAAAACTATGTCCATTTGACCCCATAGCATGCATAATTTTAAACACCTCTATCAAGCCTTTCATTTCCCCACTAAACTTAAAAAGTTTCAAAGGTCGTAACCTTTCTTCATTGATCATTTTGGTTACCCTTTTCTGTACCTTCCCCAGTTCAACTCTATTGTTTCTGGGGTACAGGGATTAGAACTGCATAAAGTATTTCATGTGTAGTTGCATCACAGATTTGTATAACAGTATTATGTTATTGGTAGTTTCCTACTGCCCCTATCAATTGCTTTCCTGCAACACAGAATTCACCTTATTCACAGCTGCAAAGGGCTGACATTTTCATCACACTATTTGCTAAGAACCCTCCACCCTAAGTTCTCTTTTCTGGTGGTCAGTCACCACCAGTTCAGAATCCATTATGATGCGAAGTAATGATTTGTTTATTTTTGTCCCTATGTGCATCCCTTTACATTTGCTTACATTAAGCCACATTTGCAATTTTAATGCCTATTCACTCAGATCCTTTGAAACTCCTCACAATACACACATACTGAAAAACCACACTTTCAATAATTTCATGCCACAGTTCCTACAGTATATGAAGAGCACTTTCAAGTCGGGAAAAAATTGCACACTGTGAACCCCTGTGTTGGTAAGTCTCATGCAAGACACGTGTAGCATATGCACGGCTTGTGGAAGTGCCAGACCAGCCGTGCATTTATTATCCCACTTATTTATATCCCACTTTTCCTTCCAAGGAGATCACCACAACGCTGTTAATATATCTTTCCATTTAACAGGGCCGGGGTGGGGTGGGGTGGGGGGTGCTACAGAATCCTTAGTGCAGCAGCCACGTCTAGTTGGCTCGGGAAGAAGCTGCCCATAGAACAAGAGCGCTTTGCCGCCTCTCTGCTCTTTGATTTGAGTCCACGTCGAAAGCTGGGCAGCACACTTCAAGGTGGCACAGGGCTCTTCTGTTTTGGAGGGTGGCTGAGGTTTGGCTTGCGGCGTAACCCGCAGCCTGTCCCCGCTCAGCTTCTGGCACGGCGGGCAGGTGTTCTTCGCAGGGCCCCGCAGCCTGCGCTCCTGCGGGAGTGGGAGGGGAGCGCGGCTCGCCAGGGGAAGCAAGCGGCCGCCAGTGGCCGAGCGGGGATGCGCCCTGCGCGGCAGCCGCCGTAAATTATGCCGAGGGAAGCAGTCTGCCCCATGCAGCCGCCGCCGCCGCCCCAGTGCACCCCCGCCCGGCATTCCGGGCTGGGGCTATACTTAACCTCTGCGGCGGGTTAGAGGCATGACGTGCTCGCCTCGCTGGAAGGCTGCACCGTATTAGGAAATGCAGGCAAGCCAGAGCTTCGCCCCCCGCGGCCGCCGCCCTTCTGAGCCGCCCGCCGCCCCCCTGGTCTGAGGGCGCCCCGGCTGCCCCTCTCTCCTCCCCGGGCGAGCGAGCGAGAGAGCGGCCGGCGACAGAGCCCCAGCCCCGCCGGGCGCGCGCTCTCCCTCCTCACTCACCCCGCCGTCATGGTGATGTTGTAGAAGATGAGCCAGGCGGTGGTGACGGAGCCGCGGCGCCGAGGGGCGGCCGCCTTGCCGCTCTCCTTCTCCTCCAGCGAGCCGTTGCCGGCTCCGCCGTCCTCTTCGCTGGACGCCATGCTTTCCCTCCCCGGAGGCCAGGCGGAGACAGACGGACACACGTGGGGGGCGGCCGGAGGAGGCGAGGCGGAGGCGGAGTCGGGGCGCGCAGGCAGCTGGCTCTGGCGCTCGCCCCATCCGTCTTCGCTGAGCCCGGCGGCAGCTGCTGCTTGGACAGCTGCTCGGAGGCTTCGCCCGGCCCCCTCCCGGCCGCGCAGGGGACTGCGGAGGATACCAGAGACCCGGCTGCCTCTGTGCGCCAGGATGACGAGACTCGCCTCTCAAGCTGGGACTCGTCCGCACCCTCCCCGCGCCACGTTGCTCTTTCACTCTAACAGGACCATCCTCTTGGACCATCCTCCTTGACAATTGTGGTGGAAATATACATTTTCATTTTTATTATTTTAAAAATAAAACATATTGTTGCACGCCCAGAGTTTGGTTTCCTTGCAATGAGGGACAGTAGAGACTGTGTTGTCTTTAGGATATATGGTTTATTTACACATGTATACAACTTGTGATGTAAAAAGTAGAGACATCACCTTGCCAACAAAGGTCCATATAGTAAAAGCTATGGTTTTCCCAGTAGTGATGTATGGAAGTGAGAGCTGGACCATAAAGAAGACTGATCGCCAAAGAATTGATGCTTTTGAATTATGGTGCTGGAGGAGACTCTTGAGAGTCTCATGGACTGCAAGAAGATCAAACTTCTCCATTCTTAAAAAAATCAGCCCTGAGTGCTCACTGGAAGGACAGATCCTGAAGCTGAGGCTCCAGTACTTTGGCCACCTCATGAGAAGAGAAGACTCCCTGGAAAAGACCCTGATGTTGGGAAAGATAGAGGGCACAAGGAGAAGGGGACGACAGAGGACGAGATGGTTGGATAGTGTTCTCGAAGCTATCAGCATGAGTTTGACCAATCTGCAGGAGGCAGTGGGAGACAGAAGTGCCTGGCGTGCTTTGGTCCATGGGGTCACGAAGAGTCGGACACGACTAAACGACTAAACAACAACAACAACAACTTGTGATGGTTCACAGCATTAACATCCCAGAAGGTCTTGCTTCTCCCATAGTCACAGCTTTGGATTCAAGCAGAAATCAGGCATGGCTCTCACTCTCCGGTTTCTGCCTGTCTGTAGCCCAGCTTTCTCACTGAACTCAACTCTGGCTTTTGTCCTTCTCACTACTAGCCACCCATTGGCCATCCAGTAGAAAGCAACTTCCTTTCTTATACTAAGGACCACTACTTAGGGTGATTAACTCACCAAGAAACTTGCCTGGCTCCTTCAACAATGGAATCTCCCAAACACACAATATTTATAACTTACTAACCCATATGAAATATCAAGGTTTCTCACATGCATATGGTTGGCCACTGTGGGAATGCAACATATAGGATGGGCCTTTGGTCGGACTAGCAGGACCCTTCTTTTGTTCCTAATGCAATGGTTGCGAAACCATTTCCCCCCATGGACCTCTTGAAAATCGCTTGATGGTCTTGGCAGACCACTCACTGGTTCTTCTGCAATCATAATGTGCTGGGCTAGGTGCTGTATGATTTTTAACTGTATTTTTATTGCTTCTTCTGTTTCTTAAATTTTATTGTCTTAGGTTTAGATTCCGTAGAATTCAAATTGTAATACAATAAAATGCAATATGAGAAATAAAAAAGGAATACAAACCCATTTATAAATTAATATAATATCAGCATGCTGCAGATCACCTGAATTAAGATAAGGGACCACAACTTGGGAATACATGTGCACCCAGAGAGACTGAACGTGTGTCAAATTCTCTTTTTTAATGTGCAAAGCAATCCTAATATAAAACAGATTCATGATTTTTTGTTTCTGGCTCATCCTAAAGTTCCTTTCCTATAGTATTTCCAGGAGTGACCATTCAGACATCCTTGCTGAAGAATGAAATTGGCACTCTTCTGTCTCATTGAACATGTGTTTCTGCCCTTAAGCTGATGCCCAATAAGAAGGGCAGGTAGCAAATCATTCAGCACACACCTTAATTGTGAGAGTACCCTAAAGCCTGAAGAGTGAGTGTGACAATTTGCCACAGTACCCACTGCTAAAGTAAAGAGAAAGAGGGAGGAGAAGGATATACCTGTCCAGTCCTGAGTAAGCTGAGTCAGCTGTGACCTCCATGGGAGAGTTATGCCCTTCCTCTCAATATCCTATAACAGCAAGGCTACAGTGTCTCTCACCCGTTCCTTGGTCCATGATCCAGCAGCACTGTGGGCAACAATGTAAGCTGCTGTCTGGCCATATCCCTGAGGCTCAGGCATGCTGGACAGCTCCCAGAAATGTCAGGTGCTGCAGCTTTCGATCTGCTGGCCACTAGCTTGTGCCTGCCAGGGATGGGGGTGGAGTTTCCATGCTTCCTTCTTGCCCAGCCCAGCCAGAGTTTGCTTTGCCCAATAGTGGAATATCCTACCATATATTCATTTAGCCCATTTTCTTTGCGAGTGGTGGCTGTCCCCGATGTCATAGTTTCTCCTGATTGTTGAGTGTGTGTGCATACAGGTTTGCTATGCATTGACTCGGGTCCCACTTGCCTGGTCCAGCCTCCGCATCCTCACCTGGCAGACCAGCCATCCTTACACACCTGGAACCCAGGAGATCTCATTGGAGGGGCACGCAAGCGGCTTTCCTAAGCGCGCCTGAAGGGCTTTTTACTCCATTGACCCATCCACACAACCCTGTCTGGCAATCAGAAGCAGGGTTGGGAAACTTGGGACGGGGGAGAGATAAAAACGACCGCTGTTTCCCAGGCGCTTCCCGTTGGGAAGCCTCGCTGCGCCCGCCTCGCCGTCAGGCAAGTGCGGTAGACACCTCTTTTGCCCCGCCGCTCCCCGTCATGCACCGCGCGCCCGGAAGCGTCGGCGACAGAGGAGGACCAAACGGACAGAGGGAGCGCGAGGAAGAGGAGGAGGAGGGCGAGTGGGGGCGGAGCCTAAGCCGCCGCGGGGCCTCGCTCCGTCAGTCGCTGCGCTGAGGCGTCTGTGGCTGTTTGTTGTTTTCCGCCCAGGAGGGGCGGCAGGGAAGCTCGCCTTGCTCAGCCGCCGCCGCCGCCGCTCTCCCCCCGCCGCCCTGGGAAGATGCCGCTCTTCACCAGCAACCCCTTCGACCAGGATGTGGGTGAGTCAGGAAGGAGGCCCGGGCAGTCAGTCTGGGCCCGACCCACAGATTCCCCCTCGCCCTCCTGCCCCATCGCCAGCCCTTCCTTCCCTCCTCCGTCCTGGGTGCGACCCCCTCCCCATCTCCCCTCGGGGGTCGACCCGCCTCCCACCTGCCTTTCTTCTCCCTGCACGAGGGTCCCGCCTCGCCTTTGTCAAGTTCCCTTTCCCATATGTCAGGCGGGGTGGGGCTTAGCTCTTGAAAGGCGCGTCATGTGTCTTTTCATCGCCTTTATTTCCATCCTTTAAAGCTGTTTTAAGAGAGGACAAGGGGTCTCTTCCCCACCCTATCACGCCACACTTCTTTATTTTCCAGGTTTTTTTTAAAAAAAATTAAGGTTAAAATCCACCCCAGAGCTCAGGAAACGTGTAGGTTGGTTCTCCCTTTTATCGCTGCAGCAAATCTTAGGTTGACAGAATGTGACTTGCCCAAAGATAAGTACAGTGGCACCTCGGGTTACAGACGCTTCAGGTTACAGACTCCGCTAACCCAGAAATAGTACCTCGGGTTAAGAACTTTGCTTCAGGATGAGAACAGAAATCATGCTCCAGCAGTGCGGTGGCAGCAGGAGGCCCCATTAGCTAAAGTAGTGCTTCAGGTTAAGAACAGTTTCAGCTTAAGAATGGACCTCCGGAACGAATTAAGTTCTTAACCCGAGGTACCACAGTGCATTCAAAAGTTATGTGTTCTTTCTTTAAATAAGTTGGTTACACTTGGTAGCTCTCAGCCCTTTCTATCTCCTCTTCTCCCACTAAAGTAATTCCTCATTGAGTGCCTGTCCAGTAACTTTTTGTTGTTGCTGCTTCAGAATTCCTGTAATAAGACGGATGTGATTTTTCATAGAATCATAGAATCATAGAGTTGGAAGAGACCACAAGGGCCATCGAGTCCAACCCCCTGCCAAGCAGGAAACACCATCAGAGCACTCCTGACATATGGTTGTCAAGCCTCTGCTTAAAGACCTCCAAAGAAGGAGACTCCACCACACTCCTTGGCAGCAAATTCCACTGTCGAACAGCTCTTACTGTCAGGAAGTTCTTCCTAATGTTTAGGTGGAATCTTCTTTCTTGTAGTTTGGCTCCATTGCTCCGTGTCCGCTTCTCTGGAGCAGCAGAAAACAGCCTTTCTCCCTCCTCTATGTGACATCCTTTTATATATTTGAACATGGCTATCATATCACCCCTTAACCTCCTCTTCTCCAGGCTAAACATGCCCAGCTCCCTTAGCCGTTCCTCATAAGGCATCGTTTCCAGGCCTTTGACCATTTTGGTTGCCCTCCTCTGGACACGTTCCAGTTTGTCAGTGTCCTTCTTGAATTGTGGTGCCCAGAACTGGACACAGTACTCCAGGTGAGGTCTGACCAGAGCAGAATACAGTGGCACTATTACTTCCCTTGATCTAGATGCTATACTCCTATTGATGAGGCCCAGAATTGCATTGGCTTTTTTAGCTGCCGCGTCACACTGTTGGCTCATGTCAAGTTTGTGGTCAACTAAGACTCCTAGATCCTTTTCACATGTACTGCTCTCAAGCCAGGTGTCACCCATCTTGTATTTGTGCCTCTCATTTTTTTTGCCCAAGTGCAATACTTTACATTTCTCCCTGTTAAAATTCATCTTGTTTGTTTTGGCCCAGTTTTCTAATCTGTCAAGGTCATTTTGAGGTGTGATCCTGTCCTCTGGGGTGTTAGCCACCCCTCCCAGTTTGGTGTCATCTGCAAATTTGATCAGGATGCCCTTGAGTCCATCATCCAAGTCGTTGATAAAGATGTTGAATAAGACCGGGCCCAAGACAGAACCCTGTGGCACCCCACTAGTCACTCTTCTCCAGGATGAAGAGGAACCATTGATGAGCACCCTTTGGGTTCGGTCAGTCAGCCAGTTACAAATCCACTGAGTGGTAGCATAGTCAAGACCGCATTTTACCAGCTTCTTTACAAGAATATCATGGGGCACCTTGTCAAATGCCTTACTGAAATCAAGGTAGGCTATATCCACTGAGTTCCCTTCATCTACCAGGCTTGTAATTCTGTCAAAAAACGAGATCAGGTTAGTCTGACATGACTTATTTTTCAGAAATCCATGCTGACTATTGGTGATCACAGCATTCCTTTCTAGGTGCTCACAGACTGTTTTCTTAATGATCTGCTCCAAAATCTTCCCTGGTATTGATGTCAGACTGACTGGGCGGTAATTATTTGGGTCCTCTCTTTTCCCCTTTTTGAAAATAGGGACAACATTTGCCCTCCTCCAGTCTGCCGGGACTTCGCCTGTTCTCCAGGAATTCTCAAAGATGACTGCCAGTGGTTCTGAGATCACATCTGCCAGTTCTTTTAATACTCTTGGATGCAGTTCATCTGGCCCTGGAGACTTGAATACATCTAAACTAGCCAAGTATTCTTGTACTATCTCCTTAGTTATTCTGGGCTGTGTTTCCTTTGCTGGATCATTTGCTCCAAATTCTTCAGGTCGGGCATTGTTTTTTTTATCGGAGAAGACTGAGGCAAAGAAGGCATTGAGGAGTTCAGCCCTTTCTGTGTCCCCTGTTTGCATTTCACCATCTTCTCCTCTGAGTGACCCCACTGTTTCTTTGTTCTTCCTTTTGCTACGAACATACCCATAAAAGCCTTTTTTGTTGCTTTTAACCTCTCTAGCAAGCCTGAGTTCATTCTGTGCTTTAGCTTTTCTGACTTTGTGTCTACATGTGCTGGCTATTTGTTTGAATTCCTCTTTGGTGGTTTCCCCCCTTTTCCATTTTTTGTACACATCCTTTTTTAATCTTAACTCAGTTAAAAGTTCTTTAGATAGCCACCCTGGCTTCTTTAGGCACCTTCCATGTTTCCGTCTCATTGGTATTGCCTGACGTTGTGCTTTTACGATCTCCCTCTTAACAAACTCCCAGCCATCATGAACTCCCTTTCCTTTTAGTATTACTGTCCATGGGATCTCACCCAGCACTTCCCTAAGTTTTATGAAGTCGGCTTTCTTAAAGTCAATAAATTGAGTCCTAGTATGCTTGGCTGCTCCTTTCCGCTGTATAGTAAACTTCAGAAGAGCATGATCACTCGCGCCTAATGATCCTTCCACTTCTACCCCACTAACTAGCTCATCAACATTGGTTAGGACCAGATCTAAAATGGCTGTTCCTCTTGTTGCTTCTCCCACTTTCTGGACAATGAAGTTGTCTGCAAGGCCAGTGAGGAATCTGTTTGACCTTATGCTCTTGGCTGAGTTTGACATCCAACAAATATCCGGGTAATTGAAGTCCCCCATTACTACTATCTCCCTTCCTTTTGCATGCTTGGCCATCTGTTCCAGGAAGGCATCATCTATGTCCTCCGTTTGGCTTGGGGATCTATAGTAAACTCCCACAATGAGGTCTCTGTTATTCTTCTCTCCCTTAATTTTGACCCAAGTGCTCTCACTTTGGCTTTGAGGTTCTAAATCTTGGATCTCTTCACAGGTATACACATCCCTGACATATAATGCCACTCCTCCTCCTTTCTTGTCTGGTCTGTTTCTCCGAAACAGATTGTATCCCCCCATTATTACATTCCAATCGTGGGACTTATCCCACCAGGTTTCAGTGATGCCTATTATGTCATAGGCTTTTTTAAATAGGCTGCATACACATCATACATTTAAAGCCCTGACAACCCCTCCTGGGACAGGGGAGAATCCTGGGAACTGCAGTTTGCTTCATGCACAGGTGCGGTTCTCAGCATCCTCAACAAACTATGGTTCCCAAGGTCCGCCAAAGGGGAAGTAATGGGCTTTAACTGTGTGCGGCTTCCAGTTCTAGTGGTTTGCCAAGCGGTATTTGCTGTTATAAACTGTTTTGTAGAAAGTCTTGTGGGTTATAAAATCCTTACCACGTGATTAAAATTACTTATCATGGATAGGGTTAGCTATGCACTTGGAAGTTACAGCCATCTGTGACCTACCAGTGTGTATACTGTATATATATGGCCAGCTCCCTTTCCCACATACATACACACACAGGATCACTGTATATTATGGTCTGTATGGTACATTCATAACCTACAGTGTCTTCATTGTAGGAATTGTTGAAAATGAGCCACACACTCTGAATTGTTACCCATTCATATTTGGCTTATCTCTAAAATATCTTTTCTTTTTGGTAAGAGAAAGGGGAACTAAAGGCCAAAAGGCTTGGGGTAGATAGGGTCAATACTACACAGAACTTAACACTAAAGGCATTAATATGTTGGAAGCAGCTATATAATATGTAGAGAGGGAGCAGCTTTTGCAGTTGTAGTTTGATGACAACAGAGCTTTAGCAAGATTGTTGTCAGTTGTAAGTTGGAATTCATTCAGCTCATGACTGGCTGACTTCAGTATTTATGTAGAGTCATCAGTGATTCATAAAAACATGTGGATATTTGTCACAAGGCCACACCTGTTATTGTGGGATAGTCTGAGAGGGGCTGAAACAAAGTATGAATGCAAAATGCAGCTTTTGTATTATTTCTTCAGATGCAGAAATCCAGGGGAAACGGTTGTTTCTGAAGAGACTGAGCATAGAATGTCCAGCAAATAAGAACTTCCTTGTTCTGTCACACCAAAGAGGGGCCACTGGATAGCTGAGCACACAGTCTTATTCAGAGGTTATTTTTGTATCAAGATTTCCCTGGGGAAAGATTGGGAACAGACAAGTTCATATAGTAACTTTCCTGCCTGTCCTGCACTTTCCTCCCACAGGGGAAGATTAATGTGCCAGCATCAGGGGAGCTCCTGTGTTAAAAGAACTGGAATGTTAAGGTTCAAATGTTTGTTTCTCCCACAGTACAGAGAAGCAGGGAGAGGGAGTGAATATGTTTGCACAAGCCTTAAGACCTTCCAGTTTCACAATATGTGTCAAAGGGATGTCCAGATAGGCCCAAAAAGTGGTCAACCAGATGCTGCTGCAAACCTCAGAAATGAGGTGTGATGGATGTAATGGCTGATTCATCATGGATTGCAATGAAGGATTGTGCACTACCATAAAATGCATTGGATTTGTTTAGTGTTTCTGGTGATGCTCACTAATGAAGTTGTCCAGCACTCTAGTAATGTTTGAATTGAAGGTAGAATAAACTGATGACATGTAAAAACATAATGTTTGTTTTTATCAGAGCTTACACGGTGCTTCATTGAATTCCAGCGTGGTGTAGTGGTTAAGAGCGGTGGACTCGTAATCTGATGAACCGGGTTCGCGTCTCTGCTCCTCCACATGCAGCTGCTGGGTGACCTGGGGCTAGTCACACTTCTTTGAAGTCTCTCAGCCCCACTCACCTCACAGAGTGTTTGTTGTGGGGGAGGAATGGAAAGGAGAATGTTAGCCGCTTTAAGACTCCTTAGGGTAGTGATACTGCGGGATATCAAATCCAAACTCTTCTCTTCCTTCTCTCCCTCTGTCCTACACTGTGTAGTGCTGTATGGATGAACTGCAGTGAGTCCAAGCAAAGCATTGGGCCTACAAGCTTTCATCCATATCACTTTTCAGAGATTTGTTTCCCTTTCAGATAATTTTTGCTTGTTCCGTTACACATGCTAGAAAACACAGTTTATGATAAACTCTAGTAAGTTTCTAAAACATGCCAGCTTCAAACCATTGGTTGCAAAGGTGACTTATGTAATTAACCTGTCAGCATTCCTTGTTCGAACAACGTGACAAGCCAACATTCTTTGAAAAGGATACTTCATTTCCACCATAGTTTTTAACATTACTTTGTGAGCACAGTCACTGAACTCAAAAAGCTAACTACAGCGCTGTCAAAACTTGTGTGTGTGTTCTAGTAAACATGGTGGGCCTTACTTTTGAGTAAACATTCATAGTAAAAGGCTGCATCTTGCATTAATAGTAAGTATTTAATTTTGTTTGGGAAGCAACACTGCAGATTCTATTCCTGAGAATGAATTCCATGGAGGAGCTAGAAGAGAAGTCATGTAGCTTCAATATGACTATCTTTTTCTTTCTTCAACTGAAATAGCATTGTGGTGGTGGCTGTGCGGAAGCCATTGCTTTCTTACCAGAGAAAGTTGCTGTTTGCGAACTGGGCTAAACCAGGAAATCTGATCAGTGAAAAAAGTACAGTTGTTTAGGTTAGAAAAGGGCAGAAAGTAGATCAGGATTTGCAATAGATTGGCAAGGATTCCTTACTTGGTTGTTAATTGCAACAACAAAATGTCTTTTCCACGTATATTAGGCTGCTTTAATAAAGAAAGTTGACTGGGATTGGGGTTTCATATGAAAGGACTGGGAGTTCAGTTCTGGTAGTGAAAATAAAGTTCAAAGCCCAAAAGGTATTCAGAAATGCACCCTGTTATTTAATTATCACTGTATATATTTTGCATGTGGCACTGGTGGATCCTTGTGTGGAAGTAAAACAAACAAAGTAGGTCCAACAGGCCTGAAGTCTTCCCACCTCTAGTTTAGATCACAAGCTTGTGGGCAGAGTTTGATCCTTTTTAATGTAATTATTTTAATTAAATAAAATAAAGCCACAAATTAATTTAGTGCTGCTTTGAATAATGTGTTGGTGTTACCATAGTATACAGCATTTATTATTTTTTAAATTACTAATACCAGGGATTATAGAAATAATGCAGTATTACATATTTTTAGTTATACCACCATTGGGCTTCTGGCCTTTTTTGGTGTTCAAGCACTTTAGGCCTGTGATGGCAGTCAAATGCTATTAAACCCATAAGGCTCACATGCCTTATTCCTGGGTCCTTGAATGCTATATTACATTTTTTTAAAAATGTATAGGTTTTAACTTGCAGTTAGAATACTTAAGGTGGCTTTTTATTGCAAGGATTTATTTTGTTACAGGTTTGTTTATTGTGGACAGCTGGTGCTTGACCTAATTACTGTTGGATATGTATTAGTGTTGGTAGACAGGACAGTGCTTTGTTCTTCCTCTCCTACTAGAGGAGTGAGCCAGTCTGGGCTGATAGCAGTATTAGCATCTTGCAGGTTTACTATAGTCTGGAAACTTTCAAAGGCAGAAATTCTGTTTTCTATCATTAGTCCTGGTTGAGGGAGGTAAGCATTTTTGTTTAGTGAGTATTTACTTTAACTTAAATGGCGATAATGTCTGTCTTTGGGCAAGCCATGATGATATTTAGATGCAAAAGCTGTATTGGATATTAAAGTTATCGAAGACCCTAGCACATAGTACAAAATGGTTTAGTTTAATAATTCCTGTAATTATTTATTTAAAATATTTTTAACTTTGTTGTGTGTGAAATATTATATTGAAAGATTAAGCAAAAGAATGGTCAGCTTGTGAAAGATACATGAGAATGAAAGCATGTGCCCAACTGCCATAGTGCTGAATTGCTGGTTTCCTGGCAGAGCAGGATGTGCAGAACGGTCTCAGCTGCCTCAGCAGACTTTCAAGGGAAGGAACAGTAATGATAAGAAAGCAGTCTAATTCAACCCAGCCCCTGCCAAGACCCCACATGTCTCTTGTGCCTGTAATACTATTCAGTCTGCTCTATATCTTGGAAATAAGGCAGGCGACAAACTGTAATACATTCTTTAGATTATCAGTCTTGGAAGTTCTAACAAGTCATAAGACAGCATTCTGATTTGACTTCTTCCCAGATTTTTTTGGGTGGGGTGGATGGGGGTGTAGTTTAATTTTTAGTAGAGATGTAGCTTCATCTGGCTGTGTGCTAGTAGGAGGGAACTGGTTTGGAAAGGAAAATATTATGTGTGTGCATAGCTGTCAACCAGAGGTTTCTTGAAGAACCAGAGCCATATAAGACTGTGTCCAAGATTGTTTGGAAAGCATTCTAGCCAGCTGACATTAAAAAAAATAAATCTGTCAATGAATTCATAAAAATAGTCTTGCTCATTGCAGAAGCAGCACTAACATTATACTGATGCCAGATCTTTGATTTCTTTGTAGAAAGACATGAAAATTTGAGTTTACTATGCAAATCACACCTTTACATTAGCTATTATCACCTTAATTCTGTTTTTAATGCGTATTTAGGATTGTGTATTGGGTATATAACAAAGTTAGGTTTTACAACTTAACGCTACTCCAGGACATACAGCAAATGGTTTATTTTTGGTAGTTTCATTCCACTTGTAGCTATGTGGGATGCCATAGCATATGTATTGCAGAATGAATCTTGCAGATGAATCTTTAAGGGCTTAAGTTCATTATGCACAGCCAAGTGTTGTGACTTGGAGGAAAACTGTTTTCTTTCCCCCCCTAGAACTGTATGTATTTAAAGGTTGAATTAGCAAACTGGCCAGCTAACGATAGCACGGGATTATCCAATCAGTTATAAAATGTTGAAACAGCTGGGAGTAGTGATACTACTGAATTTCAGAAACAGGAATGAAATGGTAAACTGAAGGTTTTGCTCATTGCTACTGCCTCTGGGACCAATTCCATTCGCCCATTGCAGGACTGATATGAAAGATGATTGATTTGTCATTCTCCTTCCCCTTTCTCCAAACATATCCTTAGGAAAGAGAACGACAGTATGGAGGACTCCTGGGAGTAGAGAGTTTCAAGCCTCGCCTGAGGCCTCCAATGCTGAGAGCTGCTCCCCATTGCTGTCCCTGCTTGTAAGGCAATGATGGAGACCCTGTGGTCCACCAGATGTTGACCTCTTAATTCTCATAAGGCGGAGCCAGAAATGGTGGGAGTCCCAACATCTAGAGGGCCACAGGTTCTTCAACTCTGTTGTAAAGGTTAGATCTGGAAAGAAGGAAGGGCTGGTAGCAGCAGAGGTATTACACAGTGGGTGGTAAGGTGGTAAAGCCCAATCTGATTTGGCCTGTTCTAACTTGTTTCAAATCTTCCTAGCCCCACCTTTGGGTCTGACTATAAGTCAGAGGAATGGTGTTTTTGAGCTACATTTCAAGGCAAAGTTCAAGCAAGTACATGATAGTGTAGATGATTATTATTGGCTTGCAGGATCTACTGGAGCGGCTGCAGCAGAAATGTGTTGACTTGACAAACCAATGTGCTAATGTCTTGAGTAATGAGATGCCACTATTGAACATGTTCACACCCTCAGAACTACAAGTGTGCTATGTTTTCTTCAGAGTTCATATATTGCTTTGTTTCAACCCGAATTTCATAAAATGCTACATTAGGGCTGCATCTAGGAATGTGTCAACATAATTCAGAGTAGGATGACCATATCAGTTTTGATGCATTTCTATTTAGAGTTGATACTGAAGTTTCACTTACTTGGTAAAGTTCACTCCAAGCATTTTTGTGTCACTTAGAAAAAGCAACTAGTGAAATGAATACTGCTGAAGACTGGGGGCTCATCTTAGATATTTGTGATAAAGTTGGACAGTCACGAACTGGGTAAGTATATGCTTCTTGTTTAAAACACTTTGTTATTTCATTTGGAAGAAGCAGAAATAAAACTAGATAAGATCAAACTGCATGACACCTGCTGGAAAAACTAGAAAACCAAATGTGTTAATTCCAAGTTATGTACACTGCATTCATAGCCCTAGAATTTTTGAAAGGCACTGGAAATTTGGAGAGTGCTTTCAGCAGAATTGTTTATGTGGCTAATGCATAGTATTTTCTAAAGAAATTCATTAGAAATTTTATGTTGTGTTTTGCTGTATTTGTGTAATGCACAATCAGTTGGATATTGAAATCTTGTTTCATCACCTTTTTTTGACAGAAATTAAGTTCCCTCTTCTGGAATCTTCTTTCTGAAATGATCAAGCAGTCTATCATCTAATTTTTCCTCTGAGTTATCTAAATACTGTCACCTGTTGAATAAAGCGTTTCTTTTAAAAATAATTTCTCATACCATTTAAAAGCACTTTAGAAAGAGAGCTTAGAGCACACACCTCATCTTAGCAGAACCATCTGGTTGATTGATGTAATTTATCAACTCATTTTCCTCTCCCCTGTACCAATGTGTCATAGTATCGGCATGTGTAAGAGTGTAGTGCGCTTTACAACTTGGTTCTGAAATTTTTTTGCAGTTCAATATTGTAGGAGTTTTTAAGCAAAATGTTTGGGATGTAACTCAAACCCATCATTACTGACATGATTAAATTGCCCTAAATTAATTAATTCTAAGTCTAGTGTCTCCATTATTCAAAGAAATAACTGTTGAAAATGAAGATGGATTTGCCTAATTCCTGTGCAACTGTCTCCCTGTATTGAGTTTTAGTGAGAATATTACTTATGATCTGTCTAATTTCCCTTCAGCCAATAATTATCAACTTTTTCTTATCTGCAAGTGTTCTGTGGACTTAGTTCTATTTAGTACACTTAAACCTTGAGCAATTTGAATCAGTCTGGGAATTGGGGGAGAAGGATGGATGTTGATATGAGAATTATCCTTTAGCTTACAGGTTGGACAGATGGCAAACAGATCCCTTCAAATCTTGTCACTCCATGAATCAACTTTGCCTTACAGCATGATAGTTTATTTCATTTAATATATTATTAGGTTGCCTTTTAGGGTCAAACGCAAGGCAGCTTCAAACATATAAATACAGCCATCTGAGACTCCGGTTGATAATTTGATAAACTCTTTAAATATAAGGCCTTGAATGTCATATTATTTTTATAACTGAAGACTCAACAGGTTTGCTGACTGCAAGAAAATGAAATATGTGCTGCTTATGGAATAGAGGCATATATTTTAATTAAAGTATCACCATAAATGCTAGTTTTTAGTGCTACCTTAACAGATTGTGATTATAATCTGCTGGTCTAAGGCCCTAATAAACTGATTGATTGATTGTGGTTATATTGATAAGTATTTTAAGTTTTGTTGAAGTTTTCCCTATTTATTTGCATATGAGTTCATAAATGCAATTTATTCATTTTCCTCCTAATTATTTTGATAGAAAACTTGACAGCAGCTGCTTCTTGGAATAAGACAAGTTCACAGTTTTGTGCAGAGTGAAGTGACCATGCTATGTCACAGCATTTTCTATAATTAGTAGTGTTACGTATGAAGCAGTGGTTTGTAAAACAGACACCACCAAATATAGATTACTGAAAGCTGCAGTGTAACTTAAACTACAGCTTCCTTTATGTGGCTGGGTATCAGTGCTTTATGTTAAAATGAAATCATGGATACACCCCCCAAAAAGCTGCAAACATATTTTTTTTAAAGTAATCTCTTAAAGATAGAAATCTATCTATCTTTCTCACTAAAACATGGCATGTATAATTGCAACTCCATACTTCAAGAAATACAGTATCTATTTCCTTCATATACAAAATATCTCTTGGTAGCAGTTAGTTACACTCTGACTGACAGTAATGCAGTCTGTTAGCTTCTGGTCTTCTACAGTGACCTGTGTCTTCTCATACTTTATCCGATGCTGAAACCTCTGTAAATAGGCTGCTGTCTGGGATGGCTAGAACATTGGCATTTGTACCTAAACTCTGAATCTTACGTTTATTCATCCTTCTGTTTGAGTTGTTTGTCATTCAAGCCCTTTGCTGTAGATGTTGGGCCAGTAAACGACTGATCTCTTGCTATTTTTCAGTTAGGTGGTGCGCTATGTGTGCTGAGAAACTCTAGATTCTAGCAAATCTTCCCAAGTTCTGCAGGGAGCTAACTTTGATACAGAATTGAACTGTTCATCTTGCCTAGAAAAAATTGAAGTATTTGTTATGGAAAGTCACACTACAAAAATTTCCTGAACTGAGATGCCATAGGAGGATATACATAGGATAGAAGTGCACCAATTTTGGCTTAGTGCATTGAACCAGTCATTATTTGTGCTCTCCAGCAACCAAGACTTGCTACTTGCCATTGCCTTTTTCACTGGATTATTCTTTCCTCGGGAAGCGGAAAAATCTCATTAAGGGAAATGAGTACTGTATTTTCTTTGCACAGTTTTTTTTTTTTTTTTTTTGGGAGAAAGCAACATCAGAACCTTGCAAAAGCCCTTGAGAAAGGGGATCATTGCATTGAGGGTGTGCCACAGGGACTCTTGCCACTGGAAAACAGGCAAATTATGTTATGGAGTGCCTCCGTCATTTTCAAACACATTTTCCTTAGCTGCTAGCTTGTAAGAAAGGGTTTTGCTACCTCCCAAGTAGCTGAATCAAAAGCTTGCTCTTACTCTCTTGTTGTGTGTGTCCATCCCTTTCGTTGTAATGCATATTGTTGTTTATGCCAGCATATTTAAAGAACTGCTTATCTTATTTATCAGGCCTAAGGACTGTCTTCGGTCTATTATGAAGAGAGTGAACCACAAGGATCCCCATGTTGCTATGCAAGCACTGACCGTACGTGGCCTTTGAAAAAATAATTTTGCTTAATTTTCACGTTCTACTATAAAATACTTTAGTTCTAATCTCTCTCTCTCTCTCTCTCTAGCTTTTAGGAGCATGTGTCTCAAACTGCGGTAAAATATTTCATTTAGAAGTATGTTCAAGAGATTTTGCTAGTGAAGTAAGCAACGTGCTAAATAAGGTATTCTGTTTTGAGTCTTTTAAATTTGGTTATGGCAAGTTAAATGATTCCTGAAGTGGGGTGAAATACATTTGGGCAATGGAGTCATATACATGTGGACGAAATGAGGGATAGCCTTGTTAGTCTGTTGTTACAAAAACAAGAAGCATTTTGTGGCCCTTCAGTCCACAAAAGCTTGTGCCATAAATTTGTTAAGCCTTTAAGTTACCACAGGGCTCTTGCTTGTGACTTTAGAGTGGTTTCCGAGATAAAGTTGTTAATCTATAATACTTCCTCTGCCTCAAGATAATCAGAAGATCCTTCTTTCTTCTGATTTAACTTCTTGTTGTCAAATGCTGGCCCAAACTAGAGCTAGTTGGGTTTGGGTGATCTCCCAGAGACAGAATCTCATCCCTCTTTCGTCTTGTCATCTGAATACAGTGCTTAGATGGGTGAGGATTAAGACTAAGAGGACTCTCAGATTTTAGGGAAGCAGGCCACACCTATGGCTTGGGAAATCTGAGCCATTTTAGAGCTAGTTGGTAAATAAATGGGAAGCCTTTTGAACATCCCGAAAGCTGCTAACTTAAATATATATCCCAGTATTGATTTCACATGGTGGCTCTATTTATATTTTAAAGGCGCACTTAATGATTTGAGGTGGGGAGATAGATTTTAAACTGGTTTGGGGTTGATATGAACAAGCATAGCAAAACAATTTGTGCTTCTTTTTGAGGGTTATAGTAAACAGCACTGAAATCAGTGTGAAAAGTTAGTTGTTATAAGTTACATCAAACTGATTTAAGTGGGATCCAAGTGCAGTTAACATGGACTAGACCCAGTTTTGTTGCTATGGCTCTGGAAATGGTTTTTTGCTAGTTGATTTGTTTGGAGGGTTTTTTCAATTTTTTATGTTCAAATTTTATTACATTATTTTTATACTTGTATTTTATTTGCCTCATTCAGTGGACATCATCCAGAATGGCTGCTTATAAATAAATGACTGCTTACAAATAAATATACTTGTAAACTATATTAGCATTATCCTTTTTACAGGGTCATCCAAAAGTCTGTGAAAAATTGAAAGCACTCATGGTGGAATGGACAGACGAATTCAAGAATGATCCCCAGCTTAGTCTGATATCTGCAATGATAAAGAACCTTAAGGAACAGGGTGTTATGTTTCCAGTTATTGGTTCACAGGTAAAGTGCTAATTTGCAAAAACTGTGGTTAATGTGAGATGTAATACTAAGAAGGCCTACGAATTATCAGTCTGCTGTTTTGCTTCCTGAATATAGCTGTTGTTGATTCTTTCCCATGTCACTGTTCATAGAAATGCACACCAAGTCATTGTTTTCAATGAAACATCTCTTTCTCATTTTAAAACTTTCATCTTCTGATGCAGACCCTTACAATGCCAAATCAACTTGGTAGCCATGCAAAAGTCAGAGAAGAAGGTCCAAACACTTTTGTGTGCCAGAATGGTGTTGCCAGATTACAGCCTTAATTTACATGAGTGAAGATGAGAGCTTTGATATGTCAAAGGCTTTCATTGAAATAAGTTTGAGCTCATTAATTTAATATATGGGTGGGCAACATGATTCTGAAAGTGCATATAGTCTCGATTTTTGAGTGGTGGAAATGTCATCCCTACCCATCATTATGAAGAACATCCACGTGGCTTCCAAGTTCATATCCTTTGTTTAAATTGTTATCTGAAAATGGCTCAAGCCTATTATGATGCACGCTATTAGTCCATGTTTTCTTGCTTATTTTCATGGCAAGGGGACGTGTGTGTAAAGCAGTGGTAGGCAATTTGTAGCCTTCCAGTGTTGTTGTCCTGCAATTCCCATCAACCCCATTCAGTATATTCAATGCTAGGGGAGTTGTAGTCTGGCAGTATCTGGGGGACTACAGCTTCTTAAAATAAGTAAGTAAATAAGTTTGTTTGCTTGCTTGCTTGCCAAATAATTAAATTCAGCCAAGGGCAGTTCACAATATAAAAACAAAGAAATAGATAACAGACAAAACAGGAGCCTCCCCTCTAAGTTTAAAAGGCCATAGATTGTTTAATTAGCCACAGGCCTGGGAGAAGAGGAATATGGAATAATAATAATAATAATACCCTGTCCACTCTGGACGGCTTCCAGCAGAATATAAAAACATAATAAAATATCAGACATAGAAAACTTCCTGACACAGGGCTGCCTTCAGATGTCTAAAACTTGTGTAGTAAGCTTCTCCATGATTGCCCCCCCCCTCCACTTCTTCACTGATCAGAGATTACAGCATCTGGGAGCAATGTGTCCAAGGAGAGAAGTAAAAGGGCCACAGAAAAGGCTGTTGAACCGGATGGGGAACCCACAAGCCAGAGGTTCCCCATTCCCTGTCCTAATACCACCTTGCTAATTTAACAGACCATTCACAAAATGTTCTATGACCTGCCAAGAAAATACTGTAACAGTAATTTACCCATGGTTTCTAGTTGCCAATTCAGATGTAACATGAGATGAGTTACACGGCTCATTTTGAGGAAGGTTTTTCATTTGTGTGCGCTGATGCAACCACTAACCATTACTGCGAGGTGAACTCTTAAAAGGTCAGCTTCCCCCGCCCCTTCCTCAAAAGAAGCTGATTTTTTTTACTAATATATTTCTGATATGGCCACAAATGCTGGATTTAATATATTGCATTGAATTTTCAAATAACATCTACCCTCTTTGCTCCTGTAAGGCTGCAGAACAAGCAAAAGCAAGCCCAGCTCTAGTAGCCAAAGATCCTGGGATAGTAGCCAACAAGAAGGAGGAAGAGGATCTAGCTAAAGGTTGGTTATTGCTTGATCAGAATCTTCAGATGATCACAGCTGATGATTGGGGCTCCAGATTTCAACCCCTCTCCCCATGGGCTGGATCTACATACTGTGAATAGAACAGTACCATTCTGATAGAGACGGAAGAGGGAGGTGATTATGGCAGATTCCCCCTGCCCTTTGCAGCTTCCATCATCCCCTCAGTGCTGTTCCATAGGCTTCCCTCGTGTGAATAAATTCAGAGAGAAATCCTTATTTTGTTTTGCTTACGCTTAAGTTGGATTTATTACTTTTTTCCAGCTATTGAATTGTCACTTAAGGAACAAAGACAACAACAAACGCCGCTTTCCACTCTTTATCCAAGCACCTCAAGCCTCTTAACTAATCACAAGCATGAGGGCCGAAAGGTTCGGGCTATTTATGACTTTGAAGCTGCTGAAGATAATGAACTAACATTTAAAGCTGGAGAACTTATCACTGTACTTGATGACAGGTAAATCTGCTGGAGTCCACAAATCACATTTGCACAGTAGATACTTGGGACAGGCAGACTCGTGAAGCTGCAATTCACAGTTGACACACTTGCAAGCTCCATTTACTAGCGCTTCTATTTTGTCAACCGTACAGGATTGTGATATAAATCTTGAAGCCCTTTTTGCATGCTTACTTCCAAAGAGACCCAGGAGTTTTATATCTTAACTTCATTGGATTGGATCGAGAGTATGTTGTCATTCCCATAAAAGTGGATCCTGTATTGTCTTTCCTTCCATACTGTAATGAACCAGAAGAAAAATCAAAGGCCCAAATGGCTGCTAGAATGATGAAAGGGCCTCTTGAAAGTTGTCCTTCAAGGTGGATAGAGATGGAATTGGCCTAATGTTTTTGACCATTGAACTCTTCCTCTCACATGCATAGAATCATAGACTTGTAGAGTTGGAAGAGACCATGAAGATCATCTAGTTCAGCCTCCTCCAATACAGGAATCCTTTTGGCCAATGCGGGACTTGAACCCACAACCCTGAGAATATGAGGCTCATGTTTTCCAATCTTTTATGTCTAATTCTTTTTTTTCTAACCTATAGTGATCCAAACTGGTGGAAAGGTGAAACGCATCAAGGGACAGGATTATTTCCTTCTAATTTTGTAACTGCTGATCTTACTGCTGAACCAGAAATGAGTGAGTAATGTAATGTTCACAAAGAAAAGTGCATTGCTTTTAGCACATTAAAGCTTAATACATCAAATGCAAGTCCCTGTTTTACACCCCCCTCTACATAGATTATATCATTTTACAAACAGTCTTAATAGTTATTTCTTGAATTGTTAGCTTTATTATTTGATAGGAACGTTTCATAATTTTGTCCTCTTAGAATAATTTATAATTTCATAATTTAGCCCTCTCAGAAGGACTAGTTATGTGAGAGTTCTGAAGCTAACTCATGTAATAGAAAGCTCGATTCCCGCCTCTGCGTATTTTCTAATATTGTTACAAATTCAGATAGGCAAAGAGGATGCCTTTTGTCTCCAAGAGAATACCTTGGGTTATGCTAGATATGGCCTATTCCCTTCACTGATCCCTTGATGCAGGGGGAAATGAAATATCAAAGAAAAGTATTCTGTAATTTTTTTAATGTGGGAATCTCTGATCGTGTGTGCCATCTTGCAAAGTCAGACAGGTTTTGTAAAAGGCTCCTCCTTCCACCATTCACTTAATCTTATTACGTTAGCATGCTATCCCTAAGAGCCAGTCCAAAGGCAAGTTAGGGTTGTATTCTGTGTAAGTTTTACTCTGGGTAGACCCACTGAAAGTATTACTCGCGACAAACTTAATTTCATTGGGTCTACTGTGAGTAGACTTAGTTGTCTACAACCCTTGGTTTAGAATGCCTAGATATCCAAAACATAAGTCTTTTCTAGTCTGAGTATAATATGAATAAAACACGAATGTCTAAACTTATGTGACGATGACCCATTTTATCTTCAATCTTATTTTCCCCCATTGGCTTTACTGGTGTGTGTGTTAGGTGGGTACTTCTACTTTGCTTTGTTTAATTCTAAATGTGCGTTGAGGCAGTACTGCATGTAATTTTAGTATTGTACATCTGTACATGAAATACGTTTTTGAAAATGATCCCCTCATTCTTTCCCCCCCTTTTTTCCATTTGGAAGATTCCAGTTATTGAAAACTTCAATATTAGCATAACAGTGAAGAGACTTGAGTTACAACTCACTGGCCTGAATCTTAAATCTGCCATCCCCTAGTTGGTTAACCCAGCACACTCCCTCTGAGCCTGTCTCCCCATCTGCAATGCAGGAGATAGCGATATCGATTTAAGACTGTTATAACAATTATAAGAACGCATGTGAAGTGCTACGAATACTTGAAAGTACCTTGCAAATGTTAAGATGGTGATGATAATTTGTTAAAAACCACAGAAACATATAAACAAATATCTATAGACTAGAATCCGGATCCTGAGTGACTGCTGCACTCATGCACAAAGGTCCCACTTATTATAGTCCCAAAGTCACGCCCACCCAAGGTTTGAGGTCCTTTCAGAGTGGCACCATAAGAGGTGACTGTCAGAAATAAATGTTGTTCTTGCCACCATGTGTGAACAGTGTTTTCCACTTGCTGGTGATGATGCAGGATCTTGTCCACAGAATCATATTGAGACCAAATACCTTTATGTCATGAACTATAAACAAAATAGTTTATAAACTATAAACAAAATATAAACTATAAACTACAAAATAGGGACGTGGGTGGCGCTGTGGGTTAAACCACAGAGCCTAGGACTTGCTGATCAGAAGGTCGGCGGTTCGAATCCCCGCGATGGGGTGAGCTCCCGTTGCTCAGTCCCAGCTCCTGCCCACCTAGCAGTTCGAAAGCACGTCAAAGTGCAAGTAGATAAATAGGTACCGCTCTAGCAGGAAGGTAAACGGCGTTTCCGTGCGCTGCTCTGGTTCACCAGAAGTGGCTTAATCATGCTGGCCACATGACCCGGAAGCTGTACGCCGGCTCCCTCGGCCAATAAAGCGAGATGAGCACCGCAACCCCCGAGTCAGCCACGACTGGACTAATGGTCAGGGGTCCCTTTACCCTTTACCTTATAAACAAAATGCCTCGATTACATTTTTTTTTCTCAGTCTAAAACTTTGTGTTTCTGTTCAGTATTCTGTCAACTTATATTTTCGCAGTGAAAACCGAGAAGAAAACCGTGCAATTTAGTGATGAAGTTCAAGTTGAAACAATTGAACCAGAGCCTGAACCAGTTTATATTGATGAAGTAAGTACAAAAATGTAGACCAACAAGGGGTATATGATAATATTTATAAAACTTTTCAGTTTGAGACTTGGAAGCACTTTTTTCAACTTACGCAAATACTAATGCTTTCCTTCATTTTTAAAATGTGATTGGATTTTTATAATAACTTCAAATATTTTTATTTTGAAGCAGAATATAATGGCTTTCTTGTGTCTCCCCATCTTTGTGCTTCACTTTCTGTCTTAATTTAAAGAAGTAGTCCACACTACTGTCTGGACTTCTTAAGCTGTCTTGTTCTGACTTCTCCTGTATTCAGTAACCAGTTCTCCTGAATTGTGTTCAGCATTAGTCATACTTGCAGTGGACCCATTGAAATGGATGTCATGGCTAACATTTCCATGGGTGCATTCTGAGTAGAACTTAGTTGGACACAGACACACCCTTTATTAGAAATACTAAACACACTTACTTCTGAACAATTCCCATTGAATGGCAAGACTTATTTCAGGTAAACCTTTGTAGTGTTGCACAGGTGAAGTACAAAAAAGGGAAGATTATAAATCTTAAAAGTCCAGTGTGTTACTTTTCTGCATAAAGATTTTTGAAAAAAGAAAGGAAAACACCTATATCTTGAACTCTGTTGAAACATTTTTTAGCAGAGACCACCAAATATTACATGCTGAATACCTGATACTGGTTTTTATCACGGTGTTCCGTTGTGCCAGAAGCGGTTTAGTCATGCTGGCCACAGGACACAGAAAGCTGTCTATGGACAAACGCTGGTTCCTTCGGCCTGAAAGCAAGATGAGCGCCACAACCCCATAGTCGCCTTTGACTGGACTTAACCATCCTTTACCTTTTTTTTTTTACAGTGTTTCTGTATTTGTTTTATTAAATGAGACCTAGCTTACTCTCACAGGGTATTCATAGCAAATTCTTGTCTTTTGTGAAGTGTTTGCCTTCTGGATTATGAGCTTGAATGGCTGTGTTCTGTGTTGTGTAGTTTCTATTTTTATTTTCTTATTTTTATATCCTGCCTCTCTTTTGTCATGGAAGCCAAGTTGGTTCCCAGATTTGGTCACCCATCTAGGCATTGGCCAGACCCAGATCTGCTTAGTTTCAGTAAGGTAGTGGCCTCATGTGTCTTCAGATCATATCCTGGGATATTTCTGCCAGAAAAAAAATCCTTGTCACATTCATAAATATTTGCAGATGCACCACTAGGTGGCAGTGATGCTAGTATAAAGTAACATTAACTACTGGCATTCCACTTCAGAAATTCTTACAGAGTGACAGTTGAAAACAGCTTATGTGTTTGAAGGATATAGACACTGTGAACTAATTCCACAGTGTGTTGTGGATGTGGGTGTATTATTATTTACTTGTATATCAAAAGATTTGCATATAAAAAGTTGCTAAGAACCATGTTGGTAGATGTGCAGTTTCCAGAGACTGTTATTTCTATTGTATTCCAGTTAACTCATCAATTTAAAATATTTAGAAAAGTCTCCAATTAATTGACTCATTTATTTATTATTGTACAAACTTACAAAAACCGTGGATGAGAGGCAGCATCTTCGAAGAGGGAATGCTGCTTGCAGCACTTTTAAAATAAAGTGTTTTCCCCCCTTCAGAACTAAAATGCTGTGCAGTTTAGTGAATTAAGTAATTGAGGTCCGTATAATTTTAGAATATTTGTTTGGGTGACTCCAGTACAGTATATGCATTATAAAAATTTTAGTTGAAAACTTCCACCAGGCTGTTCATAGAAGGGACATCCTTATTGTTAAGACCTTGAGAGGAAAACATGCCTATTGTCAAACCTGCTTGTAGAATGTACTGTCAGTGCTGGCACTGTTTCTCTCATAGGAACGGACAGAACATTAACAGCTAATAAACGGTTCATGTAATGTTTTTATTAGAACTATTGTAACACTTCAGCTGTGCCCGTAGAAAAAATGCAAATAGTTTCTCATGCTGAAGTGGACCCTGGACTTAATATTTCCGATTCAGCAGCCACCCACATGCTACATGCCAGAAAACTTTTAGAATTAAAAGTTTCTGATCTTTTGAAAGCACTTTCTGATATGTCATGGAGGTCTGCTGTTGGAAAATTTTTTTTAATGCTGTTGGCTGTGCTGAAGTCATTGCGTGTGCTCAAGTTGCTGGGAGTGCCTACAGTAATTCTTTCAAACATAAATTATGGACTGCTCATAGATCTGAACCCAAATAAATAATGTGTGTGTCCTATTCTAGGATAAAATGGACCAACTGTTGCAGATGCTGCAAAGTGCAGATCCAGGTGATGATCAGCCAGACCTCCCAGAGCTGATCCACCTTGAAAGTAAGCTTTCTTTCCCTCTGTTCTGTCCTCATAGTCACAAACAAGTTTCTACCTACAGGATGCTAACTTCATCATTTCTCTAAAATCTTTACTTGATTATCTCAAGTCATCTTGTTTGTTTTGTGGAAAGTTTTCTTTTTTAGTATAACCTTTTCTTAGCTAGCTTGATGTTCATTATTAAAAAAATTATTGAGATTTATAGTTTTTCTATTTACATTGTGTTTCTAGCAATGTGCCATCAAATGGGACCGCTCATTGATGAAAAGCTAGAAGACATTGACAGGTAAGAACAGATATCAAAAGAGAAACACCTGATATTGCAAAGCAGCAATTGTTTTGTTTTAACCACTTATGTGTCTTACTTCTGAACTTCGTAAGCTACTCTTGAATCCTTTTTGGGTTAACAATGGGATAAAAAACCCTTTAAATTAAATAAATAACTTTAAAATGAAATGGGTTTATCTTTAGAGATAGGGTAGCTATTTCAAAACAGAAGGTCTTGTGCATTTTCAGTAATGACAGCTAATGCAGCTTTTTAAAGTTATGGACCAGACATTTGACTAGTATTTGTACATAGATAACTTTCTTTATATCCTGTACTAATTCTTCATGGTAAGGATCACAATTCCCTGTCTCCACCCCCCCAAAAAAAAATTCTGATCATTTTCTCATAGTAGGAGGTATGGATGGCTTCCCTGGCAGCTATCTGTTAGTTATTTTTGAGTGTCTGTGTACTACTTTAGGGCAGGCATTCAATTCTCAGTCTTACTTCCTTTCATGAAGTCTCCATACCTGGTTCCCTTGCATAAATTGAAACATCCGCTGTCTCTGTGTAGCACTTTGGTTCTTTAGGAGGTTGGAGGAAGAGGATGGAAGTTGCCTTAGTTGCTGCTGTCAAAAAGCATGAGAGCGCTCTTTCTCTTTTAAAGACTCTGACTGCAACTTTACCCTTCCTCCATTTGCAGTAAAATGATGCCTCCTTCCGTGGATAAGTCAAGGTTGGGGAGCCTGTGGCCATCCCAATGTTGGGCTACAGTTCCCATCATCCCTGATCATTGGCTAGACTGGGAGTTGTATTCCAAAAGGATCTGGAGGTCCAGCCACCCTATGATAAACTATAAAGCTAGTATCTGTTTTGTGTAAAATAATGTTCATTGATATTGAAATGTTTCATTCAGGAAACATTCTGAGCTGTCAGAGCTCAATGTGAAAGTGATGGAGGCACTCTCCTTATATACCAAGTTGATGAATGAGGATCCAATGTATTCAATGTACTCAAAACTACAAAACCAACAATATTATATGGCTCAGTCCGGTGTTTCTGGCTCTCAGGTATGTATTTAGAGGCTGTAAAGATCTGAGGTAGATAATTGTGTTGTGGCATTGATCCAAGAAACTGGTGGATAATGCATAATTCAAGTGATAAAGCCAGTTACGGATAGTTGAACCCTTCAACATTAACATTTATAAATTAATAACGTGTGAGGCCTATAACTTGTGAGGGCTCCTGCATCCAAATATAATGAGGTTATATTATTTAACAGATTTCACAAAACATCGTTTACTATGCCTCCCAATTCATTGTATATGATCAAGAGACAGAAGAAACTGCAACTTCCATGCATTCTGGGAGGAACTGATCCAGACTTCTGGAGTTTGTAGGGGTGGGGTTAAGCCCAGTGGTGTGGGGGTGCTCACAATTGGGGGGGGGATAGAGTCATTAGTTAGCACTGTTTAATAAACTAGCTTTTAAAGCGGTGACTATTAAGATGGTTTCGAATCCTGTTTTTATGGCCTTAAGTGGAACAAAATAATAAGCGTCACTTGACATTAGCCTATTCCTGTGTTTATCTCTTCCCAATATTTGTGTGTTTAGGTTTATCCAGGACAACCTCAAAGCAATGCATATTTGGTGGCAGGAAATGCACAGATGGGTCATGTTCAAGCCTACAGTCTTCCATCAGAGCAGCTACCACCTCTGAATCAAGGCACAATTACTCCAGCAGCAAGCTCTGGATTACCTAGTCAGCCAGTTCAGACATCTTACACAAAGTAATTGTGAAACTTTAAATATCCAAAACTTGCATGTAATGTTAGCTAGAAATGCTTAAGGGAAATAATAATTGACAACTTGATCACTAAAGCTATCTTTGGGACACCTGCAGTATGTTTGGATTGGACATTCTGTATCAGGTTACAGAAACCTCTGCTTTCCTTAGGTTTGCAAAACAGGCTCAAGGCATGCAGTGGGGTGGGGATACCTGTTTGTTTTTTAAGATGAAGGATCCAATTTTCATTTTTTTGTTTCGTACCTCTTTTCAGTCTACTTACTCTTTTCCCCCCCTCTCACCCTTACCTCTAGCACAATGGTTGGTTCTGTTCCAGGAAGCACGTATTCTAGCCAAGCTTCAGTCTACAGCCCACCCCCAACTGCTGCTACTGCTGATGTCGCTGCTTACCAGAATTCTGGAACTATATCTCAGGTGCCAAACTATAACTTAGTCGCCTCATCCCTGCCGCAGCCACCAGGCAGCCAACCACCACCACAGCAACAACCTCCATCATCAAAACAAAACACTTATTCCCAGAAGGCACTACTATAGGATAGAGGACTTCTGATTCCTAATCTACTCTAACCTCTGCTGACGGCAGTTTACAATGTTATGAGTTTATTCCTTTAATATCTTAAACGTGGGTTATCCTCGGCTTAATAGGAATCTTTCTTGGTGAACAAGTATAATGATTCTATTTGCACTGACTTTTTAGGATTATTATTTTTTTAATTTGCAAAGGAATTAAAATACTTAGAGGACATTTAATTCCTTTAAAAATGCCTAAAATTGGTACAAGGTTATTTATGTCTGCTGAAACTGGCTAGTTTGTGACGAGTCAACTTGGCAAACTGTTGTGGCATATATGTTTATGTACATATAGTGTGTTTGTGTTAGTGGCCGTTTTGAATTACTATGGTGATCATGTGAATATATAACACAGTGTTAAAATAATTTACTGTTTTATTAATCATGAACAGATGGAACATGTTCATGGATTTTATAAGGATGTTTGTTCAGAGTGTAGGAGAAGGCTCTAACCTGCATATCACAAATACTTACTGGCTATGGATATGCTCTTGAAACTGAATTGCCTAGTTTTTTCATTAATTGTACATTGAATGTGAGTGTGTCCTTCCTTCCTGTAGCCTTTGGGTGCTACTAGATGACACTATCTACCAAAGTAAGGGGTCTAGAACTTCAGACACTCTGCATTCAGAAAAGATTCTGCTTTTATGAATAATGGTTTCAAAATAATAACTTGCAAGCTGCTAAACATATGGGACCATGAAACACATCTGAACCATTTTATCTTTTATTGTTTAAATTATGTAACTTACATTTTCATGCTAGTTTTGTGTCACCTGAATGCTGAATAGTTATATTCTGTGTACGTTGGTGGAGATCACACCAAAGACAGAGAGGGGGCACTTTGGATGTGAGTGAGTGGCATTTTTAAACTGGAACAAGAAGAAACACTACATTTATTAAAGTCTTGTTAAGGACTGCCATAATTGTCAGATTGCTTCGTTATGTGTATGGTGTTAAAATATTGTAGCTTTTTTATCCAGAGTATGTCTACTGCACCTAATGCAGATCATCTCCCAAGTACATCCAGAAGTTCTAGCCATGGAAATGGTGTTTATGCCCTCTGTTTTCATGGGGAGACTTCGGATTAACTGTTCGTGCCTTGAGCGGTGGAGCAAGCTTAGTTCTCTCTTCGCAGCAGCTTGGGGAACATTTTCTGTAGAATTCATCAGCGAACTTTAGCATTTATCTGAACATAGAATAGTGGGTACCTCTTTCTCTCTCTGTTTTTTTTTTTAATTCCACTTATTTCTTTCTACCTGCAGGCATTGCTATTTCCCTGCAGGTATTTATCTCTGTCTTTTGCTGCACACTTAGGGCATAGCTTTTTAGAAGTAGTGCCTGGTATGCATTTAAGAATTTCCCACCTTGCAGGAAACAATATTGGGCATTATGAGATCAGATCAAACAATGGATCTTCGATCTGTGAGTACAGAGGAGATAATCTGCTCACTATTGGCTCATTTGGTGCCTGTTGTGGTACCCACCACATCTGTTTCTGCTATCCCTTTTGCTGTTGTATCTGCTTCTGACGCCAGCATGATAGCTGCTTTGGGTTTGGGTTTCTAAGTTTGCCTCAATAAAGCAATATCTAATAGGCAATGAATAAAGATTGTGAATGACCTTCAGACTAACCAGGAACCTACACACAGGATGGAGGACAGTAACTTATATACCTCTTTGAATTCCTCCCCAGGACTACAGGATGACTTTGGATAAGTCCATGTGCTCATCTTGGTCTTCAAGGAGAATGCTGAGAATGCTTCTGCCTGCTCTCAGCCAGAGGCACCTATGTCTCTGTTTTGCCTGATATTGTTTAAGTCAGTGGTTCCCAAACTCTTTCCCCCACTCTGACCATTTGAACATTGCTGAGAGTCCTTGCAGATTTTCTGTCTGTTCTAGCAATTAGAATGTGCTGTGCTAAGTGCTGTGTGATTTTTAATTGTATTTTTATAGACATGCCATGGACCACCTGAATGAAGCTTGTGGACCACAGTTTGGGAACCTCTGAGCTTTGCCACTCCTCTTAGCTCTTGGGACCACAATTCCAAATTTCAGAAACAATTGGAATGCTGAATCAGCATTCAGATTCTATCACCTATCACATTAGTGGCTTGGGAAGAGCAAGATCCCAATAATGTTGACTAGGATTGGTCCTCTAAAGCATCACCATTTTCCTGCTTACCTTACAGAGATGCAGCATTGAGAATAACCAAGACTGAACTTGAGTGACTTGCCTTTATATAATAGAATTGCACAGCATTTCTTCCAATTCTGGCTGATCCAACAACTGGCTCCTTCTTGGTATCTACAGTGGGGATTCCAAGGTCACTGTTGACTGCTATGGTAGCCACTTCTTTTGTTCCAAAGCTCTTTACTCCTGCTCTTGATGTGTACCCTCCACTGTGTTGTATGGTCCTAGCGTTGAATAAAGTAGACTGTTAACTTATCCCTCCAAGTGCGATTCTCATATAAGTGCAGGCCAGGTGTGGCTAACCTATGGCCCTCCAGATGTTGTCAGACTCCAGTTCACAATAGCCTCAGTCAGCATGGCCAGAGGTCAGGAATGACGGGAGCTGTGGTTTAGGAGCATCTGGAGGACTGCAAGTTTCCCATTACTAGGTAGACCTTAAGAGCCTTGCTGAATGAACCAAAGGTCCATCTAGTCAAATAGCCTGTTTCTTATAGTCACAAATCGGATGCCTCTAGGGAAGCGAAAAGTAGGGTGGGAAGGCAAAACCTTTCCCCATTGCTATCCTCAAGCAACTGATATTCAGTGGCATATTCTCTTGCCCCTGGAGTTTGGATGTAGCTAGCATGGCTCATAAAATGATCCTCCATTAGTTTGTCTTCCCTCCTTTATGCTATTTTAAGCCTAGTGGTCATCACATCTAGGACAATCTGTTCCTTAATTATGTGATGTGCTTTATTTTGTCCATCCTGAATCCTGCCAATTACTTCCAACACCTGGTATTATGAGCGAGGAACAAAAAAAAATCATGTTCTTCTCATGCAAATAATAATCTCAACCTCTCATGTCTTCCCCACCACCCCCCAGTGTATTTTTCAAAACTGAAAAGCCCCAAACACCAGTTTGGCTTCATCTGGATTCTGCTTCAATTGCATGATCATTCTGGTTGCCTTTTTTTGGTCGCATTTTCCAAATGCAGTTGTACCACGGGTCATTACAATATGGTCTGTTTTATTTTAATAATCTTACAGTTGCTGCCCACTTATTTTCATTGAGCTATTCATCATGACCCGAAGATCTTTCAAACCCTATTAGCCTGTACACACAGCCACATGCAGCTTGTTTGCTACAGTATGCATAACTTCATTTATATTTAACTTCATTTGCCTTATTATTGCCCATTTCCCCGTTTTGGAGATGCCCTTTTGGAGCTCTGTGCAGTCAGCTTTGTTTTTCACCATTCTAAACTGGTGTCATGTGCAAGCTTGTCCATTTCCCCCCTAATTCCAGTTGACTTAGGAACAAGTTAATTAGCACTGATTCCAGTACAGGTCTTTAGAAAGTCCATATGTGTCTGTCTTGCATTTCAAAAAGTGTTCACTTACAGTTCCCTGCTTCCTGTTTTTCAATGGATTACTAGTGATAAACTTCTAGGTCCATCATATCACTTCAGATAGAGCTTTGGAGCTTCTGCCAAACTGTTGTCTAACTCATCTTTCCTCAGTGATGGTCTATGTTTATATGTGGAACAAGTAAACCCCATGGATCGTCTCTTATCCTCAGAAAAACAGCAGTCGTGATCCTTTGTCAATGACATAGTCTTCCTGTGTGTTCAGTCTAACCACAACTTAGCAGTACCCCTACCATCTGCTCTGCCTGAGGTGGGCAAGGACTCTTGGAGGAGAATAGTGACGAGGACACCTGCCTGATGACTCTTGGGAGAATATCTACTGAATACAGCAAGATGGAAGACCCATAAATCACTCGTAAACATTTTTGGCTACGGAACTCAAGTAGAAGAGCTAGGAAAGACTTGCACCAGAGACCTCTGAGCCACTGCCATCTGGAGCAGGAAATACTGGTCTTGCATGGTACAAATTGTCAGGAGTGACAATTTATTGCAATATATAATAAAAACATTTTTACTTGGGTTTACTATCGCAGTTTACTAAACAACAACCAATGTCTAAAATGCAAAATGTTAAACACATTTGCAAAATGCTATTGTTATTCTGAAACGGCATAATAAAACTATGGTCAGTATTGATGTTGAGTAGTGATTCAGTGATCTTCAGATGAAGATCTAGCTAGTGGTCTTCAGCAGCATATAAATGACAATTAGTGGATTAAGTACTTTAAAGTAAAATTGGATTCAGGATTGCATAATTCAGGAGTCCTGTTCTTGAAATAAAACTCATTTCTTTATGTACAAATCTTGCTTGCAGTGCCCCCACCCAATGTAAAAATACTATGAGCTAGAACCAGATCAAGTAAGTGAACTTGGGTTCCACTGAAATCAATCTCAGAACCATAGAATTGTAGATTTGGAAGGGACTCTAAGGATCATCTAGTCCTACCCTCTGCGATGCAGGAATATGTAGCTGTCCCATGCGGGGATTGAACCTGCAACCTTGGCATTACCAGCACCACACTCTAACTGAGCTATCCATAGGTCATGCTATTCACTAAGTTACATTGATTTCTAAGGGTTCAAGTTAAGCACATAGAAAACCAGCCCAGTATTGTCTACTGAATTAGTTCAGCTCTAAATCTGGGCAAAAGCTGATCTAATTGCAATTCCTGATGTTCAGATTCAAGTCTGTGAATATGAATACACATTTTTTTAATTAAATCTTTTAAAGATGTATTTGCAACACAATATTAGTCAGTCTCTCACTTGCAAAGATGGAGCTATTGCACCATTTCTTTAAAAAATTGAGAAGCAGCTATTATGCAATATCTTCACAGAACTTCCCCCTTGAAGGACAAAAAAAATCTTTAATAGCAGGATTTCTTGCTTTCGGGGTATTGTAAACCGCAGTGACTTTTCATTTCTGATTAAGTCTCTTAAAATTAAACTGATTCCTTCCTTCCTCTTTCCACCAGCAGGTGAAGACTTTCTTGTTCCAACAGGCTTTTAAGAATTGACTTATTAAAGAAAGGGCTGGTGCTGTGATATTTTTATTGCAGTGCTTTGTATGTTGAGATAGATAGATAGATAGATAGATAGATAGATAGATCGTTTTTAATGATTGCTCCCCCCACCCAGCTGTTTCTATTTTAGTTGCAAGCTGCGTTGAATCCCTGTCAGGGAAAAAGGTGGAATCTAAGTAAACATAGTAATAATAAAAATAAGTCCTACTGAACTCAGTGGGACTTAATTTCTGAGCAAAAAATGCTTAGGGTTGTTGTGTAAGGCTGCAACTTTTTTACCCAGTTACATGGGAATAAGCTCCATTAAACTCAGAGAGGCTTGCAGTGTAAGGATCAATTTGCAATGAAGGAATAAACACTCCACATGCTCTATTAAAAAAAATGCAGGATATTGAACCATTGCAATTAAAGAATTTTTAGTGGATTGGTGACATTTTCCTTTGAAATAAGGGATAAATACAAAGTGTTTTGTATTCATCATTGCCTTCATTGGGTGCAGACATTTTCAGTATAAACGTAAAGCTGTTTTTGTAGCTGATTGTATGCAGCAGTGTCCTCTTTATGTATTCACATGACGTAAACATGTATGTTGTCCTCTAGATCCGAGCCTTAGGCACATGCATTCTTGCAAACATAGAAACATGTTATAAGCAAGCTATACTTCAAAGTGCTTATCTTGTGAACTTGCCATTTAAATTGTGCAGTCATAGCAAAGACTCCCATTTCCAAAAAAAGGACAGTGTGTGTGTGTGTGTGTGTGTGTGCGCGCGCGCGCGCCTGACCTCTCCACCAATTTTAATTGATTTATGTCAGAGATAAGGAGGGGAGGGAATAGAAATAATAAGAAGATAAAGCATATTCCCATGTCTTTCCCAACCGCCCCAGCACATGGAAGAATACGTGTTATAATGTGAACAAGATGCTGCAGCTCCTTCACCACTTGATGGGCTGCTGCAATAACAGGAAACAGGGCAGCAAGCACACAGCAGAGGAGGAGGCTGGTGGTTTTGAGTGCCCTTTCCATTAGCTACCTCTCTTCCCTGAGAAAGGGAAATGCAGCAACAAGAGCGGAGGTTGATGGGCAGGGTGGGGTGGGAGGCAGGAGTGGAAGGGGTGTGTAGTGGACAGAGGTGGATTCAGCGGCAAAACCCGGAAGTAACGTGCTCCGTTACTTCCGGGTTGCCACGGAGCGCAACTCGAATGCGCTCAACCCAAAACACATTCACCTTGAGGTATGACTGTACCAAACTCCACCCATGGAGGAAGGAAGTGAGTGGAAGCAACTTGCTTCATTCTGCTTCATGATTTCTGCTTGGGCAATGGAACTTCCCTGCCTCCCTCTGTCTGCATCCTCTTCAAATCTGCTCTGGAGGGTCAGAGGAACCCCTAGAACAGATTTAGGAAGCACACAGAGAGGAAAGCCTGTGCACATGGAACATTGGGGATGGGGCTTGTGTGAACTCCCTGTCCATCTACACACCATGGGCTGGCAAACTAAGGCTCGCGGGCCGGATCAGGCCCAATTGCCTTCTGGATCTGGCCCGCGCACAGTCCGGGAATCGCCGCATGGATCGCCAGCACATGCTCTTTCTCTCTCCCTCACACGGCTGCAGCACTGCCGCCTCCTCCCTCCCTCCTCCTGGCTTCTCCCTGCCCTGCCTAGAGGAGGAAGGGGGCTAGGCTTTGTTGGTGCCAGCAGCAGCAGCAGCAGCACTCAAGCAGCCACCATTTTAAGCAGCCCCTCTCCAGAGCTCTTTCGCCGTTGCCAGCCCCTGCCGCTCATAAGACACAGGTAAGCAGCCACTGGGGTTTGTGGTGCTCTTGCATCATTTTCCCTCCCAAAATATAGTCCAGCCCCCCACAGGGTCTGAGGGACAGTGGACCGACCTGCTGAAAAAGTTTGCTGACCCCTGACCTACACAGTTTTAGCCTTGAAGAGGCCTCCCATCACACGTAGTCTTCTAAATGTTCCACAAATCGCCAATAGAAAACACACTTGTTAAAGACCTAAGAGAATGGATACATAGCCAGAATGTGTATACAGTCACACCAGTCAAGATCTCAAGACAATTGATAGTTGGGAATGAATTTAAAGAGGCTTTCTCCTATGTAGCAATGAGTATCATGTTTTGAATGAAAATTAAAAGAGCCTAGATGTCAACATCAACAACTGCACAACACCGACTGGAACACATTGTTTTCAAAACGGACAAATTTGTTACTGGAAACGGCACCTGTTTTGTACAGTTGTCTGACCTTTCGGCCGTGTAGGCTTCCTTCCAGAGTACAAACATGTGGTGTGGCTGGAAAGGTTCATGTTGGCTTTTGTAGGTTTTGATTGGAGGCATGTGAAAACATACACTTCTCTATAACTCTGATTCCTGTGAACCCAATAAATCTGCTTTGAAAACTTCCTGAGACTCAGGGATTGCTAGATTCCCAAAATACCAACCCAGACATAATTACGGTACATTTATAAGTAATGTTACAGGTGATACAGTTTCTTATTTAAAAGCTTTCTTTTTAAAAGGAGAAACAAATGAAATTAATAAATCTGTGCACTCAGCTAAAGTGTATAGATGTTGCCTTAAGCCAGAGTTTAAATTAGCCATCCTTCAATTACCAAACTGGAAGCCCGAACATTTTGGAAGTCAAATGGACTTCCAGAATGGATTCTGTTCTACTTCCAAGGTACATCTGTACAGCTATTGAAGTTCTGGCTCCGGTTGTTAGAAGAAGCCTGTTGCAAGGCTTCCCCACACAGCAAGAACTCTTTCTAAACCCCCAGGATATGGTCACCAGGCCATTTATCAACAAGGTGCCACTTCTCAAAGGCCTACTAGAGCAGAAATCATAAACAACCCCCCCCCCAAAAAAAAACACATCTGAAATTAAAGTGGGTGGCATCTCTGTAGAAGGATATGCATATTTTGAATTCAAAAACAGGATCTGCTCAGGTGACACTTGTGTGTGGCAGGGAGGAGGGTTTTCATACAGGAGGAGACATTGTCTTAAGGCAGGGGTGAACAGAACAGTGCAAATAATTTTTGATCTTGAAACAGCTCTCTCTTGCAACTATTCAAAGCTGTAAACTCCAAAATCCAGATGCACCCCATAACACATGCAACTGCAAAATGCCTGGATGCCTTCTTGCATGTTTGCAACTGTGATGGCCTGCGACTCGGGCTCAGGCTCGGAACCAGAGGAGTCTCAGTCCGCACCAGATCCTTTGCCTCAGGCGGCAGCTGAACCTAGCCTGGGGCCTGATTCTGAAGAGCCCCAGTCGGCACAGGTTCCCCTGCAACAAGCACCAGCTGGGCCAAGTCAGGGGCCTGAACCTGCCTTGGCTCCAGATGCGGGGATTACCTCGTTGCCTCCAGCTGGGCAATCACTTACAGCTGCTCCACTACCAGTTGGGTCAGGAGAGGCTGAGGCGGCCTCTGGGTCTAGTAACCCACCGACATCTCCCCAGCAGCAGAGACTAAGGTCTGAGAAAAGGAGAGACCTGAGTACTCGCAGGAGGAGTGCTCACCTTTGGGCGAGACAGGGAGGTGAGTCACCGGGGGATCAGGACCGGCCGTTACCCCGACAAAGATAAAAGGCTGCTGGACCCCACCCCAGGTAGTGGGAGCAACATTGCTGTTTGCCAGAACTTGCCTGAGACCCTGTGCCTAACCTTGCCTGGTTTCCTGCCTCGTGTCCTGCCTTGGCCCTGTCGGACTGGCTCCTCGCGGAACCCTTGGATTCGGGACTGGACCTGGACTGCGTTGCTCAGGTTACCCCCGGGCCCGGCACAGCAATGCATCTATTAAGGCGTTTCTCCCTCTACTTGGAGCAAATCTTCTTGCAGAGGAAAGAGCTGAAATGGCATTCTTTGTACAACATCAAAGCCAATTTCCCTCTTATCTGCTCTCCATTGAAGAGCTGATGGGTGGAGACACAGAGGGCCAGCTGAAATCCTGGAGTGAGTGGCCCTTGGATCAGAAGCTTACTGTCTTAAGATGAGCTGGGCCAAGGTTACATAAGTACTTTAAAGGTTTAAATCTGCACTTTGAAAATAGAGCATAGACATACTCTGGCTGTTTGCTGACTGCAACAGGTTTCTGTTA